CCATGTGTCCCCAGGGCGTCACGGGGTGTCACGGGGTGGCCCCGTGTGCCCTCAGGGTGTCACAGGGTGTCATGGGGTGTCACGGGGGTGGCCCCATGTGTCCCCAGGGTGTCACAGGATGTCTCCAGGGTGTCACAGGGTGGCCCCAGGGTGTCACGGGGTGTCATAGGGTGGCCCCATCTTTCCCCACGGTGTCACAGGGAGTCACGGGGTGTCCCCAGGGCGTCACAGGATGCCCCCAGGGTGTCACGGGGTGTCTCACGTGTCCCCAGGGCGTCCCTGCATGTCCCCAGGGTGTTCCAGGGTGGCCCCAGGGCATCACAGGGTGTCATGGAGTGTCTCGTGTGTCCCCAGCTTGTGCGCAGGGTGTCCCTGCATGTCCCCAGGGTGTCCCCGTGTGACCTCAGGGCATCCCCCGGGGTGTCCCCGGGGTGTCCCCGCGTGGCCCCGCGCGGCTCACGCGCTGTCCCTTGTCCCCAAGGCGAGATCGCGCTGCTCGAGGGCCTCACCGTGGTCTACAGGAGCAGCATCGACCTCTACTTCTACGTCATCGGCAGCCCCCACGAGAACGAGGTGGCCCGGGGACACCGGGGACATTGGGGACACTGGGGCAGTGGGGACACCAGGGACACTGGGGACACCAGGGACATTGGGAACACCGGGGCATTGGGGACACCGGGGACATCGGGAGCACCAGGGACACCAGGGACAGTGGGGACAGCAGGGACATCGGGGATACTGGGTACATCGGGAACACTGGGGACACCAGGGACGTTGGGAACATTGGGGACATCGGGAACACTGGGGACACCATGGACCCCACGGACACTGAGGACACCGGACACGGACACTGAGGACACCGGGGCCAGCAGGGACACCGGGGACACCAGGACACCGGGGACACCAGGACACTGGGGCCAGCAGGGACACCGGGGACACCAGGACACCGGGGACACCAGGACACCGGGGACACCAGGACACCGGGGCCAGCAGGGACACTGGCAGGAGCAGGGGACAGGGGGACCCTGCGGGAGGCTGGGGACACCGCGGGGTGGCCGGGCAGGGGATGGGGGGACACCGGGGCACGTGGGGACGCGGAGGGGACAACGAGGTGGTAGGGGACACAGAGGGGACGTGAGGTGGGAGTGGGGATGGGGACAAGGAGGAGGACACGGGGGGACACGGGGGGGACATGGGGGGACAGGGGGACCCATGGGGCAGTGGGGGGTGGCAGGACAGGGCGCGGGGGGGACACACGGGTGACAGCCGTGTCCCCTGTCCCCAGCTGATGCTCACGGCCGTGCTCGGCTGCCTCTTCGACTCGCTCAGCCAGATGCTGCGGTACTGGGGGGGGCAGGGGGCACCCATGGGTGCTGGGGTGGGGGTGGGCACCCAGACCCCTCCCCCGTGATTGGGGTGAGGAAGGGGGCACCCCAATCCAGGCCACCCATGACAGGGGGTCACGTGGTGGTGACACCCATGGGTGCAGGGCGCACCCAGAGGCCCCCTATTTGGGAGGGGGGCGGCTACTCCTATCCAGGCTGTCAGTGA